GAAAAAAGGGGGGGAAAAAGGCTGGGAGCCGCGGGGCCCCCGGGGGCGGGGGGGGGGGGGGGGGGGGGGGCGAGTGGTTTTGACATGGAGATTAGACTCTGACTATTGTTCAACAATACAGACATAAACACTCGTGATCTGGGACGGCAGTACAGCACAGTCAAACTCATGAAGACGGTGGGGAAAGTTGATAAATAGGAGATACGTTTCTTCTGTGGTGGTCTTTTCTGGAATGATCTGCAAATGAGATAATGGTGGAGCGGAGAAGAATAAGTCTGTTTGTTTGGCTGGAGTTTGGGTGGGTGGGTGGGTGTGCATGGAGAGGAAGTGTTTGGGATGGTGGCTGTGTCCTAAAGTGCAGGGTGAGCATAAATAGGGAAAAAGAGAGGGCGGGGTTGGGATGGGTGCAGGTCAGCACCACCGGACAATAGCGCGTCGCTCGTGGTGGTAACGGCGGCGGAGTTTGTAAGGGGCGAGGGGAGGATAAGGGGGTCGGAACGTGAGCAGTCAGCAAGCCAGGGTCATGACATCTGGGCATCAAACAAACAAACTACTGACACTTACAAATACGTTGGCAGTGCAGAGTTATTCTTAAACACATGGCTCTCCCTGTGCCAGACAGTCGGCGTGTGACAGCAGAGCAGAGACGCCGAACCCTCTTTTGTGTTGTGTGCAACATTGACCGTCATTGCATTTGAAACTCTTTATCCACGAAAGTGTGCTTACATACAGACCTGAGCATTACACAGTGAGATTATGGACTGTGAAAGTTCCTATCGCTCATGTCGGGAGACCTTTAGTGTCACTGCAGCCGAGTGACTCGATGCATTTGTCACTTTGGACAAAAATCACTTTATTATGCTGACAGCATGAGAGAAGACGTATCGCGGCCGGTGCAACTGCAAGTGCTGGTAAATATGCTAAACTGCACTGCAGCCATGCTCACTGCACATATCACACTCAGGGATTAAATTTTGGCAGGTTCCCCTTACAGCTTCCAGCGGTCTTGGTTCATTAAGTTGCTGTAGGGGGCACAGAGACCCCCCCTGATACCAGCTAAGGACGGGTGTGTTCGCTGTAAAAGGAGGGAATCGGTTCAAAGGAGCACATCACTGCAGCTCCTTAATCAGAGCTGGCAGGGATCAGCCAGCACAGACATGAGGCACAGCGAGAAAAGTGTGTGCGCTGAATCTGATACGATATGTTTAAACATACAAGTGTGTGTATGTGTGTGTGCGTGCGCGCGCTTGGCTATGAGGTAGAGCAGAGAGAGACAGTGAAAGCGTGTTTCTCACACTCACACTCAAGAGCCTGTGAAAGGTCAGTGCTTAGTGCTAACAGCATAAGATAGAAAGTGGCATGCACACACACTCACATGCATATGCTCTGCAGATGCTGAAGTCTAAAATAGACAAAAAAAACAAAAAAACTGAGGTATCTCATGTCTAAACTGTAGTCGCCTGCAGAAAGTGCTCAGGTGTACACACATCTCATTATCGGGTTTGGTAAAATGGGTAAGGTGTTTTCCTTTTTGCTGTGGTTTTTGGCTGAAAGGTGTTTGAATAAAAAGCAAACGCTTTCTCAACAGCGGAGCAGAAAACACACAGATGACCTCAGAGTGCTCGGCTACATCCAAAACGACCGGAGAGGAGGATAGAAAGACACAGAAGCCTGCACGGGCCTCCCTCTCTGTCTCTCTCTGTCATATAAGCCCCCTCACAGCCATCAGGGCTTTCCAACGTTTCCTGTTTTTGCAGGAGTGAATTGTGGGAGATAATCTGGGGCTGTCTATTGGCTGACTGCACACAAAACGCAGCCCTGGAAAGCGGGCTTTTGTTACTGCTGCTGCTGCTGTGACTCAAAATCCAGCCACGGGCTTTTCTTTCCAGGCCTCGGCCCCGCCGAGGTGCACATGCCGTGCCACAACATCAGCGAAAAAAAAGAAAAGGGAAGAAATGACATACAGAAAATGCAAAACCCCTCCTGACGTTCGCGGCACCATGGCACATAATTGACGTAAACACAGAAGCTGAGGAGAGATGCTACTAACGAAACGGCCAATTTTGCCTAGATAGATTCTGTGAGCAGTAGATCGAACACTGAAAAATCTAATTTTGATTTTTGTTTTCTTTCTTTATCAAGCAGCTATGCAGCAATAAATTGATTGATATCTCATTGATAAAATCTAATTGGTGATCAGCAAATTGAACTCTGAAAAGGGATATTGACACATTTTTAAATGTGTCAACCAACACTTTGTACTTTTGTCTCTTTTTTAGTTCAATAAAAATCTGTGATGCCGTGATGCGTCAAAGGAGACATTCTTGTAAATCATTCATTTTCTGTTAAATTTCCAAACTGCTCCTTTATCAGAGAACCTCAAACAAATTTTTTCTCTGCCACATCATGAAAGTCCTGACAAAACAAATATTGTTTTGCAAAAAACAAACAAACAAAAAAAACATAAATATGTTTTCTAAAAACATGCCAGCAAAGCAATGTCAGATGATTTATTAAACTAACTAAATTATTTTGAACTGATTTTTTGATCTATTGGCCCTTTATTTAGACCCTATCTGTCTAAATAAAGATATGTCATAAAGCCACTTGGATTATATAAGCTGTCATTCATGACACCAACAAGGGTATTAAGTAAAATCTGTCAAAACACTTCAGAAACACTTAGGGGGGAACAGTGTCTTAAAATAAGCTTATTGGAAATGAACATCAGCTCCAGGGCCTCCCAGGTCCAGATCTGATTAGACAAGACCCGATTAACCTTAAAAGACTGTTGTTTGAAGACAAGCTCTTGCTGAGAGGCTGTGCTGGCTGAATTTAATTAGATAGTCCCATTCCCATACACTAATTTAAAACCAGAGTCCATTGTCATTTACAGAGAACAAAAACAAACTATGTGGCACTTAATCCCTTAAATATCTTGACCTTATTTAGGTTTCTATTCATGACGAGGCCACCTTCATGGGAACGCCTAATGAGTTAGGCAAAGCTGAAATTTAATCTTACTTCTTATTCAAAAAATTTCAAGTATTAGATTGATGGTATTATGTCGATAATTAAAAGAGGGGGCACCAGCACTGGAAGCTGCTTTCAATAAAAGCAACTTTTTTGTTGCTTTATTTTCAAAGCTGTCCAACGAAATCCTCTGTAAAGAATGACGTGAGCTCAGAGTCGTGGTTCTTGGTGATGGCATACATGAGGGGGCAGCTGGTAGGAAAGGAAGCCTTTATCTTCTGATTTGAATAAGATGGCCTGGATCTGTCACAGTATTTACCCCGATCAAGGTCCAGGAACACACACACACACACACACCCACACACACACACACACACACACACACACACACACACACACACACACACACACACGCACACACACACACACACACACACACACACACATAAACACGCACGCATACAATCAGCGCCACAAACTCACCACACATGATACAAGAGCTATTGTGTTGTTTTTCTTGTTTTCCTGTGCAGCTTACATATCGTGCTTTGTTTTCCAAATTTTCCGTCATTAAACTCCCAGCGGGGCTAATGTGCATCCTCGCCATGTCTCTAAAGCAGCTCTTTGCTCTACGCCCCTCCCTTTTTATCAAACCATCCTCCATACACCTGCTCTGAGAGCCACCATCTCCAGCTCCGTTCTCCTCTCTGCCCCCCTCTGTCCCTCCATTACTCATTCTTCGCGTCACCTCTGGAGAACTCAGCAGCTCTCCTTTTCCATTGTGCAGACCTATTCAACTTCCTCTTTTATCATCTTTTGCATAAACACATAAGGCAGCGAGTGAAAATCCACCTTTTTCAAGACACAAAAGAATACATTGTTCGTTGTAACTGAGACTGGAACATCACAATTTCCAACCAACTTCCCTTTTTTGACTCAGGTGCAAAAACATAATATAAGGAAGAAGTTGAGCAAAGATGAAGCAACAACTACAGTGTATGTGAATGTGCGTTTCCATTTATGCAGTGCGTTGCAAAAGTTTTCGTATCGCTTGACATTTTTTCATCCTTTTTTCACGTCACTGTCACACACCTCCATGCTTTTTATTTAGATTTTATGTGATAAACCAACAAAATAGCACTTAACTATAAATTGCTGTATTCCTCTTTACTTTGATACCACCTAAAGAATCCAGTCCAACTAAGTGGATTCAAAAAATAACATCTCACAGGGGACTGTTCAGTTCATCTCAATAGAAACAGTGTGGCATAACCGGAATCCTAAACCTAAATTAGAAGTGAACCAAGACGGGAGAACTGTATGTTGTGAATGCTGAGAAGACAGGCAAAAAGCAATGTAGGGGAAACAGCAAACATGAGGAAGACTCTGGTCAGATGAGAGTAAAAATTTGATTTGTGTGGTCAACTAACACAACACCCTAAAAACCTCATCAACACAGTGAAACATGGTTGTGGCGGCATCATGATGTGGGAATGTTTTTATTTAGTAGGGACAAGGAAGCTGTCAGACAGGCAAATAAAACCTGTGAGATTCTAAACATAAAACTTGAACTACCCTGGAAAAGCTTTGATCAAATAATAATTATGTTAGAATGGCCCAGTCAAAGTTCAGACCTCAGTCTAAACAAGTAATGGTTCAGATCCAATTTGACTGAGATTGAGGTATTTTGCAAAGATGAATGGGAAACATATTGAGACTTTAAATGTGCAAACAACACTGTGTACGACTATCACTGCAATAGATATCGAAAGGCACTGTTTATAAACTACCCCAAAGCTAAATAAAGCAAACAGGTATAAGACCACAGAAGACTCACCTTGACGTCAGAGAAAAACATCTTCAGCATGTTAGAGCTTGGGTAGCGGGTGTAGAAAAACATGAGTTTGGCCTTCTTCAGATGATTAGGGGAGAGGCCCTCCTGGATCTGAAAACAGCTGCTGTTAAGGATGTTAACAACTGTTTGGAGGCCAAGAACCTCTGGTACATCAAGCAAACATAGGCACATTACAAACACTATTTATATTTGCTAATGACTCGGTGTAAGTTTGAAATGTACATTTGGATGAAGGGTAACCAAATTTTCTCATGAGCGTGAATGCAGAGCTGCTGGAAGGGGTGAGCTGAAGACAGTGCATTGAAGCAAAACCATTTGCTTGGAATTAGCATCGTCTGGATCAGGTGTGAGAGAGTCACGGTAAATAAAGCAGTACAGCCTGGGCTTTTACATAAGGAGACTCATTTCACTGTCAAAGCAACCAAGCGCCTTTGCCTACACCCTGCGTCAAACTCCTCCCAAAAAAAGGAGGAAGAAAAAAGGAGACATTTGCATATCACAGACAAAGACAGCAGTTAACGCCAGTGGCGGGCAAGAAGGCCTAATGGCTTGGCGATAACACATGCCAAGCCTGAACATGACTGTCTGCTGCTGGCCACATCAGCTACGAAATAAGGTCTAAGAGATCCCAAACACTGTTCCAGGCAGTATGAAAAACCTTCTCGCACTCATATATTCAAATAGAGGCCTCGTCTTCCTAATGGATCCCCTGGATTGAACAGCGGAAAGGATGGAGATAGGCTGTTGGGGGCACCTTGAGGGATAGCATGGTTCCAGCCTTCAATTACATTCCCCCTCCTCCTCCCTCTGCTCCACCCCTGGCCCCCAAGCCTCTCAGTTGCTGCCAAACCCTTGGAGGAGCAAAAGAAAAGAAGGAGGAGAAGAAGAGAGGCACTGAGGCTTTGGACTCGGCCAGCGATGGGAAGAGTGGAACACATCTGCGCCACTGAACGGCCCAAGCCATTTCCATGGTGAATTAACGGCCGTATAATACATCTGATAATTTCAGTCTGGAGGATAAGACTATGAAAAGGGAACAGGGGTGGGACTGGGTGCGTGTTCAAACCCCAAACTGGTTTAATAAGTCAAATCAAGGTGGGGGGAGGGTGGGTGTGTGTGACTTAAAACGACACAGAATGAGCAACACAAAGTTTTTACTTTTACACTTGAGTGGCTTTCTCATGTACAGAGTGGGCTGTCACCATTTAAAGTCAGTCAAGTGTCCAGATGTAGCTGTAGCTGTAGAGTGGGAAGAAGGCATCAGCTGCTAGATTGGATTGCCCTTGGCCTTTGGGCTACAGAGCAGAGCCAGCAAATCCTGAACCACGCTGGGCTCTGGCTCCTTAAAGACCCCGTCTACTTTGTCTGATTCAAGGGAGTGGGGGACAGAAAGTAGCGAGGGTCTTATGGGGGAAACCCTGGCAGGCTGGTGTTACTCAGTCAGGCCCGGCCAAAAGAGCAGCACTTCACTTTCCACACCACACCATCTGCTCCGACCAGGGAGGATACAATGAATTCTCAGACAGAGGAAGAAAGAAAGAGAAATTCTTAAAGCGTAGGTGTGCTTATATTCAGACTAATTTGTTTATGCTTTTTCAATTAGGATTAGACACACTTCCCCTTATCGGGCATTGAAATTTAACTTCCTCAGCCTTCAGCTCAATATCATCTCCCTTCAGCTACCAATTAAAAAGCCTCATACTTCCCGATTAGACATTTTCATTCCCAATTCACTCACAGCTTGCAAATGTAATTGTGATTGGACTTCAGGGTGGTGTGTGAGGCCATTATTTTGTCATGATGGTACGCTCACACCAGCTGGCCCACTGTTCGCCTGCCACATCTGACAAGATATCATCATTCTCACATCACTTCCCTAAAGCCCAAAGTCATGAGGGGGGGGGGGGGGAAAAGCTGCCACACTTCCTAATTCCAGGTGTAAGGACAAGAAAATTTGGAGTCGAACTCAGAACAAATGTGATAAGTGATAGCGGCCATCTGCTCCAAAATGCTGGTGAACTTGAACGGACCTCGCTAAATGTCTGACAAGCTGTCTCTGACTTCAGAGGTGGAAAAAAAAAAAAAAGCTGTCACTAAAAATGCCAAACTTTTCAGTGAAATATTCATTAGGCAAATCAAAAACAAAACTGTGGACATGTTCTCACTTTTCCTTCCGTTTAGGGTAATACATCTGTTACTGCCCTGAATTTATAAATGCTGCCATGAAAGCCACAGCATCTGGCATATGCGGTTATTGTTTGATTATTTTGTACTTTCTCTTAGTCAATGCATGTCTCTCTCCCTTTTTTCCTTTTCATCCCTCCATCGGGAGCCCGTAGAAGCAAAGGATTATGGATCTCTGGAAAGCGTTCACCCTTGGGTCAGAAGACAAGACAAGGCGAGGTAATGAAAGATAAACAGCTCGCTGCAAACACCTGTTAACGTCCGCTTCAAAGAAAAGATGGAGAGGTGGGAGGGGGGAATTTGCAGGGAGTGAAAACAAAAAAAGAAGTATTTGGCTGCCAAGCAACAGCCGAAGGGCCCCCCGGGCTGTTGACAGATCTTTATGAAATGAAAAAAAGAGAAAAGAAACGACAATGATTGTGGGCTTTTACAACAGCGATGGATGATAAGAGGAACACAAGAGAAAACACAAGCAATCATAAATATACATCTTTACCCCAAGTCCTCAGGCAAACCTTTTGTGACACACACACACGTACGCACACGCACATGCACATGCACGCATACCATACACACACAAAAAAGACTAAACATTCAGGTGCACATAAAGGGAAAAACGAGATGTTCAGTTAACTAATATATATCCAACAGGGAATAAGCTGTAGGATTAATTTCTTAAGCCTACTATGAATGTTAATGACTGGAAGACAAAGCTCTTTTTGGGCAGCCGGTGTGAGACAAATCAAACTTTCATAAGGGTTAGGGGGTGTTGAATGCTAAGGAGATATAAGGGTAACAGAGAAGGGACTGAACATTACTGTTTAAGCTATTAGCCCTGTGTCTATAGGGGATTCAATTTGAGCCTCCCACAGGGGGAAAGCCTCTTTATCCACAGGGCAGCATCAGGGCAAACTAGGGTTAAACTATACGCTAGGCTATACAACACCCTCGTGTCCCAAGTTTCAGGATGTCGTCTCCCTCCTTTAAATGTCAATTTTTAATAAAAAGGAAATGGGGTAATCACATCTCCTTGCAATAAAGTTACACACCAAAAGAAAGCTTTTAAAGCACTTAGGATTGAAGATGGAAGAAAATGCTGTTTTGGTGCTGCGAGAAGAGGTACGGGTATAAAAATAAATACAACAATGGAGAGGAGAACAGTAGTGGGAGGGAAAAGTGATTCATCAACAATTTCTCAGCTTCTTAGGCTAGTTTCAAACAGAATCAAAAGGATTTGATTTTTAACTCTTGGTGTATCAGACATGGTTTCTAGTAGGTCCGTAAGGGCTTCTATCACCTGAGAGCAAATTTTCCTCTCTTACGTAGGTAAAGATTAGTTCAAAATGAAAAATGCACTGTGTAACAAGATACGTTTAACTTTGGCTTTCACAATTCTAAAAATCTACAGCCCACCTTGATTTTTTTTTTTTTAAAGGATACATTGCTGCCTGAGTAAGGTGAGATGTCAGCCATGTCCTGGAGATCACTGCACTCTGACTTGATTAGGGACAAGGACAGGCTTTCGGCTGTGCTGCCAGGGTGTGCTGGTGAACAAGAGCGATGGTGGTGCCCCAGGTGGTGACCTGATGCCATCTTTGTTCTCAAACTGGTGGTCTCTCTGGGCAGGTCCATGGAGTCTGGTGAAGTACGGTCCTTGCCTGGGTAAGCTGTGGGTGGGCCAATGGGAGTCTGGAAGGGGTAACCCATGAGTGGCAGTGGAAAGGGATGTCGAAAGGAGGGAGGGCTGAAGCCCATGGAGGCAGAGAGAGATGATGGATGGAGAGCTGGATGGTGGCTACCACCATGGGCACCCACAGCTGAAGACTGGTGGTGATGCTCACTGGGTGTCTTACGTACTACTAAAGGCAGTGCCTCAGTTTGGTCATTGGTAGGCCCTGGTATGCCAGGCATGCTAGCAAAGGAATCCAGTGGATTAGGAATGATCACATCACCAAAACATTGCAGCCTCTGGTTAGCGGTGTGGAAATTTGGGTTGTCGCCATTGACAACAGCAGGAAATCTTTCAGGGGGTATAGATAGAGGTGGGAAGGCCTGCTGAGGAGTAGGGCGAGGAGGTTTAGCAAACACCTTTACCACTGTGTCCACCACCTGGGTCATGGCTGAGTTGAGCTCTTGCTTCAGTGTTTCTGCTAGCTGTTTACCTTCAGCATGCATGGAGGAACCTGGACCTCCCTGTCCTTTGTTTCGGCTGAGGCCATCTCTTCTTGGCTTCTCAGTGTCGGCCAACAAGGCCTGCTCCTGAAGCAGAGCCCGCGCCCTGTCAAGGAAATGGCCTGGATCCAAATCAGCCATCTCATTGTCAGAGCGCAAGTCATCTCCGCCCCGGTCATCTCCACCGGTGTCGGACCTGCCTGGGCTGTCCTCTGACATGTTTCCTATGTCATTGTGAAGGTCGGTGTGCTCTGAGTCATCGGTGGAGTCATAGATCTGAAAGAACTTCTCCTGAAGCTGCCGTAGTTGCTTTTGCATGTCCTCCAGCTGCAGCTTGAGCTGCCGCCGCTCCTCCTGCTTCTGTTCCTTTCTCTGACACACCAGCTGGGTGAAGCTTTGCTGCTGCTGCTGAGGCAGTCGCTGTTTGCGCTTATTCTCTCGGCTGCTACTGCACACTTCACCTCCCCGTGGACTGCCCGGGGCTTGCTGTTGGGACTGAGGAGGTGGACAATCCAGTTCTAGATCCCGCTCTCCATCCATCTCATGGTCACGCTCATGGCGGGAAGTAGCAGGCACCACCACGCTTGGCGAGTGGCTCATACCACGTATAATGTTCTCTACACGGGCCCGCTTGGCACGCAGGTGTTCATCATTGAGACGTTCAATGTCAAAGGTGGCCAGGCCAGGAGGACGACCAAATGGTGACAAGCACTCCTGAGGCGTGCTATCCTGGGAGGAGTTACTGCATGCATCTTCCTGCGGGGCATCAGAGCTAGCATTCGAGAGCCCTGATCCAGGGAAGCCTGATTCGACTCTATCTCCTCTTTCCCCTCTCTCAGGTCCGCCTCCATTTTTTGCAATGTTATTCTTGAGAAGCTGAGAGATAATGGTGGTGCCAGGGAAGGGCATCATGGCATCCTCATATGAGTTGGCCCTCTTCAGTAGCTTTCGGAGTACATTTGATTTGGACTCACTGTCGCCTGCTGACACGACGCCAGGCCCACCATGTGGCTGCACTACAGAGCACTCCATGGAGTCGTTGTCTGATCCGTGGTGAGAATGGGAGCTCAGAGAGTTCATGGCACTGAAAATGGCTGCTTTGGCGCGGGCGATGTTATCGGTAGTAGCTGCTGCTGTGGAGGAGGCTGTGCTACCCACTGTCCTCTTGACACCAATGTCCACACGTCGTCGCTTGGTCTGTCTGTTCAGGAGGGAGTCGCTGTCATGGTCCGGCATCACGGGCTGCTGCTATTGGGCCATATCCCACAAACCCAGTCCTCTAGGGTCAAAGCCTCTGAGTATCTATGCAGGGGAAGAAAATAAATGGGCATGACACACTAAAGTGAAATCTCCCGAAGGCCTTATTTTTTGTAAAGGTAGCAATTTGTCATTACGCGCACACACACACACAATCTAAAACTGTAAGGTAGTTGAAATGAACAACTGCATTCAGAAATTTTAGCAATAAGATGCTCAAACCTTAAAAAAAACCTTGATTACATTAAGATAAGCATGATGGGGTCAGATTTAGGCCTTGGCTCGACATTCCAGGGCAAAGTCCTACATTTTATCCTCTCCCCTGTTACACGTTGCGCGACACTGAACCAGTTCCCACGGAATACAAAGCTGCATAAAATTATGATAATTACTTAAGTACTTGTCCTCATTTCCATGATTGTGCAGTGTAGCCCACATACGAGGCAGAAGCTCACAAATTCAAATAATAAGAAAATAGGGTTGGGATATATATTTTTTAATGGTATACAGATAGAGGAAAAACATATTTTACACAATAAAGACACACTACTTGACTCTGCTGAGTAAATGAGCTTCATCAGCTTCAAGAAATTATTTTACACTGTGCCTATAAATTGTGCAGTTTTTAAAAACAAGTCCTGTGTTCACTCTGATCAATATGGCCATCATATCTTACACAATAGGGAGAATGACACAAAAAAGAAGCACAAAATAGACCTATTGATTTTGGTGCCAGCGTGAGCTCACTTCTGTGTTTTTTGTTTGTCTTTTCATCTGGCAAGGGCAGTTAATTCTGCTCAAATGAATAGGTCACACGGGTCAACTCTGGCAAAGAGCAACTTAAAGCGCTCTTACAAAAACCCTAATGCCCCTCTGAAAGCAAAACGTTTTGTCAGTACAGGTCTGCGCGAATAATGCTATGTAAGCAGCGGTTGCAGAGTCTTAGTCAGAGCCACATCAGATGTTTCTCGTCTTAATTTTACAGAATTTGTGGGAGGATATTTAACGTGCATGGATGTCTAAAAGCAAAATGTAAAAATTCAACACGCCAATTTTTTCCCCCGTATGTCTTTAACGTCACTAAAACAGCAGGCGTTTATATTTATTTTTCCTTTTACTTTCATAAAAAAAATAAATAAATCGTTCTCTACACCAAATTTCATAAGAGGATTTTTTCCACAATTTAGGCTTATTATGAGTAAAATCTTTATAAATGCATGAAAGACGTGTGGAGTTAAAGAAACTGAGTCACATTTATATCAGTTATTATTATTTATATGACATAGTTATTTTTTTGTAGTTTTTGGAGGACATTTCCTAAAGCACCAGTGACATTTACACAAGCATTATAAAATAACCCACCTTTCGACACTTTTACAAGATCAATGTACCTGTAATGGAACTGATCCACAAATTTACACTTCACACACCCTCTCAGAGCTGTTGGCGTTGTTGTACTCTGACACACGTGACATACTTATTTTCTTAAAAAAATAAAAATAAAAAATTCAAAAATAAAATTTAAACCCTGCATAAAAGAATATAAACCCAGATTTTCTGAAAATGTCTCCCTTAGCAAGTATTTTAAATGAAACCATTTGACAAATGGGCAAGACTTCTAATGTCTTGAAAGCCATTTACAGCAGCTCGGAGAAGAAGCAATACACATAGGATTAAAACTTGACTGGATTGCTTTGGGATCTTAACAAAGAGCTTGAAATAGTTACCAGCACCTGTCTTTTTTTCTTATGTTGAAGCACCTGTCCCACATTGCCCCTCTCCCTTTCCATCTCCCCAATAAAGAGATGGCAAATACAACGGATTTTGGGGGAGGTAATTAAAAAAAAACAAAAAAAAAAAACTTTTTCCTCACTAAAAATGTTACATTTTTGGCAAAAATATGTAAACGAACCACCATACATGTAAAAATAACTTTTGCCTGAGTCAAACTGAAGTGACAACAAAACGGGCTCTGTATAAATAAAAACTGAGATATGGGGGGATGTCTTTGCTCGTTCAAACACAGGAGTTGCGCACACTGTTTCCAAACTGGTTGGTCATCTTCAGAACAGACCTCAAAGAAGATGGAAAATAAACGCAAAGCCAAAAAGAAGGCGCTTAACGCTCTCCAATCGTCTGCGCAAAGTTCTTTCAGCAATTAATAATAATTAAAAAGGGGACAGAACACCACATACCCCACGGGACAAAGAGATCAATCTACAAACAGACAGGTCAAGCAAGTAGTCTAAATCAAAATTTCCGCCTTAAATAAACACGTTTGAATCGCGGAGTGCTAAATAAATAAATAAATCACACTTCTGAAACTTACTTCGCAGAGTTGCAAATCAACTCGATCTCTGCTTTGATGAGGAAGGCTGGGCTAACGCTCGCAAATCATCCTCACCAAAAAACACTGGCTGCTCACGCAACCCTCCGCACACACCGAGCTGAGGGAACCAAGTGCAGCCCTTGTTATCGCACCTATTCATCTCGCCGGCGATTGGCAGAATAAGTGATGCTAGTTTAGAGTTCAATATCTGAACAAGAAAAAGTGAGGGAGCTTGTCCGAGGACAAGGTTACTTACCCGGTCCAAGATGAAGATTAAGGGGGGGCAACCTGAACTCCTGCGGCGGCGAAAGAGAGAAAAGAGCCGCGGACTGCTGTGCGGAGGAGCTGGTGCAAAATATGAGGAAAGGAAGAGCTGGGATAAAGTGAGAGGCGCCAACTAAAAGAGACCAAAAATATAAAAAGAAAACGGGGAAAACTGGCTCTTGCGCGTCCGTCTCTCCTTCTATCCTCAGCTGTGGTCGAAAGAGTGAGAGACCTTGAAAGAAGACAGGAGAGAGAGGGAGAGGGAGAAAGAGAGAGAGAGAGTGAGAGAAGCTGTGCGTGTGTGCGTCTCTGAGGCGCGCTGGATGCAGAGCGGAGGACTGGATGCTGCTGGAGCGCTCCTCCGCCACTAAGATTCACTTTAAGACGCGGCTGAAGGAAACAGGAAGACGTGCGCGTCACGAGCGCCGTGATGTAACTGTCGCAGCCTACCAATAAGAAGCGTCCGCGAGGGCCGGGGGAACAACACGCTGAACTTGACCAGAGGAACGGGACTTGATCGTGCAGCCAAAGTGAGGGAGTGGGAGGAATAAAAGAAAGGAAATACAACTTATTGCTTATCTGTTTCTTCAGAAATGCGAGTAAGCATCGGTACGCTCGAAAATTTCATATTTTATCCGCAGCCGTTAGAGTCTTTTGGCTTCTAATTATCTTTTTAATTGCAAAGGTTCTAAAAAGTGAAAATTACCTAAGCTGATTAATATCAACAAATTTGATATTAAAATAAAATAAAAAACGAAGCATGAACGTCAGTATTGAAATAACATACATTAAAACATAACTTTATATTTTTTCCAAAATAGTTATAAAAATTACGAAAACCTAAATTTATGTTCTGCTTTTATTCCCATCTTTCAGTTGAGTTCAGTTTTTTTTTTGCACCAAAATCCAAAATTAAAATATTCTTCCGATTCTTGAATTCTCATTTTGTTTGCTGCTGTTGATGCTTATTTCTAATACATTTTCAATATTTCGCAAATGTAAGGAAGTTTTTCCACAGCAAATCTGGCTGATGCGCGTTAGCATGGCATGCAGAAACCTTTTATGCTCAGAGTTCTCCTATTGGTTGCAACAAAAAAAGGCGACTGTCCGATTAATGAAGTAGCAGGGCAGCACAGGGGATTCGAGTATTTTTTTATTTTTTTGCTTTGGAATTCCGATTATCCCAGATAAATCTATATAAGAGGAGAGCTAAGCGTCTCTCTGGAAAAAAAAGAAAAGAAAAGAAAAAAAGAAACAGCCTGGCTAAGTGATAAATATATCCCTGAAATGTTTAACTGTCAATGTGATCCACAGCCGCGAACCGAAATATTCCAGTGAGTAAAGAGCATCAAAAGTGCTTCATTGGTAAACTTGAAAATATTGCTGGACTGGATGCAAATGATTTTTTTTTTCTGTTTGATGAATTGCTGAATGTTCCTCATCTCCGCACCTGTAACTCCCGAAAGCCTGCGGACGGTGACATTCGATCTTTTCCATGGCGAAAAAAAAAAAAAAAAAAAAAAAATGACGCTTCTGATTTATGACTTGATGACGGCTGTTGCTTTTTGGTCTTCCTTCATTCTTTTAAACTCGATGCCCAAATTTACAGTGCGGCTTATGCGCTCCGGAAAACAAACGTTTGAGTCATTGGTGCCGACAACAGGTGATTTCGCCTAACTGTTGCGCGGTGTTTGCCGACTTTAATGTGCAAGAAATTATTATTATTATTTTTTTTTGTAAAATGCTTATTTTGCATATGAATCTTTTTTCGGTGTAGCCAGAACCATCTATTTTGAGAAACTCGTATTTGTACATAAAAAAAAGTAAGCAAGCTAATGTAAGCATTATTACTGATTCTTTTATTATTATTAAAATTGTAGGCAAAATTATTAAGAAGTAGGGGAAAAAATGTTTTCCTTTTCTTGCAATGTTTCTTTTAAGTTATCCATCCCTTTGCTTTTTATTTCCAGCTTTTCTTTCACTCCTTTTTAATCATTTGCACAAACAGGATCCTAAAGTACTTAACGAAAAATCTTATTTTCCATATACCCCTCTGTCAGGTGCCAAACAGGAAAAGGCGAGTCTCTTTTCCATGTCGCAAGCAAGTGGGATTTTTTTTTCTTTCTTTCTTTTTTAGGACGAACAAAATGCAACGAAGTCAGCAAAAGTTTAGTGTCTGGAGTGGCTTTTCCAAAGCAGGTGTCCCGGTCCCCTTACTCCCCTAAACTGCTCCGTGGCTCGATTTGGCCCTCCGGCTCCCCTGGGTGCCGTCGATACGCACACAGGCTGGAAAAAACAGGGCCGGGACATTAAAGAAAAGCTTGTTTGCAAAAGGAAAGACTCGGGCGAGGTGAAGAGGAAACCTGATGGTTTTTAACACTGGCTGGCAGCGCTTATCGCGGCCCGTTCCAGGTGGATCAACCCGCCGCATTTATTCCAAACTCACCCCCCCCTCACCTCCACGTTCTTTTTTTTTTTTTTTTTTGGGTCCAGCGCAACACACCTCGATGGCCGAGACTGATAATGCGCTGCGGCATTCCGCGCTGATGGGTAAATTTACAGGGATATTTATTGGAGCATCGTCCAAGCAAATGAGGAAGGCCGTGAACACAGTATTTTCCCCAGAGGTGCTGTAAACTTACTGTAAATCAAATTTAGAGCAGTAACGAACAGGCCTGCGGCGCAAAGAGTAAGTATTTGCGCCATATATTTTGTATCAATGACGTGTCAGATGATGATGATTATTATTATTATAATTATTATATTATTTTTATTATGAGTAGTAGTAGTATTGGCAGTATGGCTGTCTGCCCAGGGCAGCTCTACCTAGAGAAGGCAATGATAAAAAAAGGGAAATAAATAAAATGAAACCCATTTGGTGTGGACAGTTTAACACGATTAAAACATTGTTGTCTGATTAGCAGCATCATATCGTTAGATGCTACATTCAAGGTTTTTTTTTTTTTTTTTGTAATAATTTAAGAAGTCTCCCTAGTTAGACTTGTCAGACCAGAACAATGTTATTCACTCACAAACAGAAATATTTTCAAAAGTAATCAGAGATTTCAAACTGGGTTTGTACTTATGACGGTTCAAAAAGGAGCACTGTAAAGTGGTTTTGGCACTAAAATCATTTTAGATTGACACACTTAAAAACTTTTCAGTGTCACAAACCTTTATGTGTTGTCAAATGTGTTTCTTAATTTGATCTATCTATCTATCTATCTATCTATCTATCTATCTATCTATCTATCTATCTATCTATCTATCTATCTATCTATCTATCTATCTATCTATATGGGTTTGGCTGGAATATGACTGACATACATTAATAATAATTACTATTATGATTATTATTTTTTTTATAGTTTTGTTTTCTGTTGGCACTCTCCCAGCCGTTCGAAGGCAGGAAATCAGCAAAGTGTAAGCAAACTTAGTGAACATTATTTGGAAGAGGAAGCAATCTCTTATAAAAATGACCTTAATCAGATAATGACTTGATGAGCTCCATACAACAGTTCCATTCCTTTTCAGAGAGACAGTTTTCAGAGAAATGATGGCGAGATAAAACACACAGAGAGAAACACACACAAACATGCACGCAGACACGCAGCAACACACGCACACACACACGCACACACACACGTACAGTGATGGTAGCGCTAAAAGCTGTTTTGTTCCGGTGAGGTCTCCGGGTCTCTGAATAAAAAGGTTTAGGAGACAGGACCGAGAGGAGGAGGAGAGGATTTGAGTGTAATAAGTGAGTAGGAGTCTGAAGTCCTTGTTGGACCTCGTGTCCGAGACTTAATGTATTCAGCTTTCGTTATCCATGACAACGATGAGGATGCTGGAGGAAGAGAGATGGCCACTTGTTTTTTTTTTTTTCCTTTGGGTTGTTTGGAGATGTTTTTTTTTTTTTTGGTTAAAAAAGGAGCCTGCATGACCAGAACATAAAATAAGAACTAACTATTTTGTCTTGTTGCTGCAGTGAAATAACACCAATTTACATATATGTTATTATTACCTTCAAAGCACAGATGATTGGCAGATTGCGAACCCCCACAATTCACATCTCTCTTTCTAGGCTACAAGTAGTGGTGATTTTGGCTTATGTTTGTGTCTGTTTGTGTGTGTGTGCGTGTGTGTGTGTGTGTGTGTGTGTGTGTGTGTGCGTGACAGAAAGAAAGAAGAGAAGAGAAGAGAAGGGAGTGGGTCATCCTCTGTGGCCTCTTTAATGGCTGTCCACTGAATGAACACACACTACAAATTCAAATATGCTTTATTTGCATGGATGCCTATTGGCCATCGCTGCAGAATATAATACATGGCCTAAACACAACCTCACAATGAAATATGAGAGCACGTCCACCCCCAAAAAACAAACAAACAAAAAAATAAATAAAACAAAACATGAACACAATTCTCTAATGACACTTGTATCGTCCTGTCCAAGAGATAACACTTTGCAACACCTTTCAGGAACCCTGTGATTTCAACATTTTAGATAAAAACCTTGAAGTTGGAAAAAATAAAAATAAAATCAGGCTTGTGAGGAAGTAATGGACAATCAAAGCCACATTGTGCAGTGTGGATGGTGAAAATGCAGCAGTTCCATTAAAAGCAAATGTCAATGGTTGCTGCCAAACGTCTTACACTAATTTAGAATTTAACTAAGAAATCAATATAACAGCTTGAATAAGTTTTCAAAAGGAGACAGGCAGGAATTATGCATGATCCTTTTTGGGGCGAGGGGACTGTTAGATTGATCATGGGGTTGCAGGTGCTTCGTTGAGCTGGGGTTGAATTTAGGGGGAGGGGATTGGGAGTGGAAGTGAGTAATCAACTTTAAGAACAACTGGCATGCTATTGTGGACATAACACGTATAAAAGAGTAACTGACTTACTAAATAAATAAAAATAAACACATAGATTGATTAATTAAATGTTACAGACTTACAGCTTCTTTAAGTGTGTCCCCTATTTTTCTAGATTCATAATAAAAATATTTTATGTATAAGAGATTGGCTGACCAGAGAGGACATCTTTACGGTGTCCCCCAATGTCACTAAGTTGCACTTACATGAGTGAATTTGACTTTTCTGTGTTTCAGGTTGGAAATGCAACAACTGTCGATGAAGGTTGAATTCAAAATTGAAATAACCAAGCAACCCTTAGTTCAGGTTAAGATGCAGTGAAAGCTGCATGTGTAAACTATTTTTTAGTACTTCTGATGGTTTTCCTCTAATTGAAGTAGCTGAACATGTATTGTTTCAAAACCTCTATTTGTGATCATAATCCTATAGGGCAAATATGAGATTGTTTGAGATTGTATGTCTTGCTAATAATAATTGTTGCAAAATTAGCAAAATCACAGACTATCTTGTTCATAATATCATTCAAAAGTCCAAGCTAACAAATCAGACACACCACTAGCAGCTCAGCTTGACTGCATGTTTGACATTAGCATTAGCTACATAGCCAAATTTGCTAAAGCTTAATTAATGTGAAATTGAATTCTTGCTGTAGTACAGCAAGTTTTTCCACTACAAGTCTTATAACGTTTCCTGTCTTTTACCAAGTTCATCTATTTATAACAAAACCCACACAGAGATTTCAGCCTCACTGTTTTCTGCTGGAGACCACGCATCACGGCGTAGGAAAAACCAGTTTTTTTATTTTAAAACATAAATAATTTTAGCAGCATACTGTGCTCTTTTTGTCTAGATAAATATTTTTTTCTGGAATATATTCAGAAAGCATAAAAAACAGAGATCATTTATTAAAGATTTCCTGTTGGCAAGAATAAACAATCTTAAACTTCATCTGTATCTAAGTATCAATCTAACGTAATTTTAATGAAAAAAGGAAACATGTGGGTTGGGGCACCAGAACTGTCTGCAGCCCAGGGCTCCACGTCCCCCTCAATCCGGCCCTGTACATATGCCTTACAAATAACTGAGAAAGTGCTTAAATCTCTGCTTGTGATGGAAGTTACACCAAAGTCAACTAGAACGTAGGGTGTCCAAAAGTAAACTGACACACTCTCAGACACACACACACACACAGACATACACACACACATGCAGCGCCTTGGAGGTGCTCGGGCGGACAGACATGCTGGGAAATCGCCTGGAACTGTATTAAGCCCGACGTCCTTAAAACAAACAATGGCACCATGAAATAAGGGCTTATGTGCTCAAAGTCAAAGAGCCCCCTCAGCAACTCTCCCTGTTTATCTCTCCCTCTGTCTGACACACACACACACACACACACACACACACACACACACACACACACACACACACACACCATTTCTTGGGGGGGTTACACTCTCGCAGTTCCACTGGGGAGGAGGAGGGGTCCAACTTTGCTCCTATGAACTCTCACCTGTCAACATGGAGGAGAGGACTTTACTTGGTAAACACAAAAGGACTTTAGCTGTTTACGTCTGGCGGTGACTTGGCCTGTTTTAGTCACTGCAAGGCCACAGTTACACGACTCTGTGTGATGCTGCTGCTTCTCTCTCTCTCTCTCTCTCAAGAGGGAGAGAGAGAGAGAAAGAGAGAGAGAGAGAGAGAGAGAGAGAGAGAGAGAGAGAGAGAGAGAGCCTTTCGAGGCCAGGTTAAACCCTCTCAAAAGTACATGCAATAATCTCTGTTTGTGGCTCCTGCCCAGGGTGTCATTTTTTTCAGTGGCGCCACCAAACGGGGGCTGGGAGCCATTGCTTACTACTATGCAGTTTCAATATTTATTTAATTAACAAGGAAGTCCCTCAAGATTAAAATCCCTTTTTATTCAAGGAGGACCTGACTTAACCGCTACCATAAACAACATTATTTCTTCCTTTCTAACAACAGTTGTTTGTTACCTTTATTTAACCAGGATTTCCAGGCATATTAAAGTGCCCCTTTTCGAATGGGATCATGTGTTTAAGTAAAGCGTTTGGGTTGTTGTATCCATTTTTAAAGGAGACAATGCATTTTTGGAGGTGCCAAAGAAAGGTTCTAAGGAAAGTTTAATAGTTTTTAATGTTGATTTTGGTGTATCATACCCCCCAAAATTAAAAAAAAATAGTCCCCATCTGGTCACCCTTACAAAACTCTCTTGAGTCTAAATCTACAGTAATTGATTAAATATTTTCAGGAAGTGTACAATTGATCCACCAGTCTAATCAAATCACAAAATATTTACGTTTGGTGCTCTCTTTTCTCTTTATAAGCCCTTCACTACAGCTGTCATCCTCCTGCCTGAGTATGGTGATGAATAAAAAAAAATAAATAAAAAAAAAAAGAGAGCCGAAGAGAGAAAAAAAGAGGCAAGTGGTGCGGCAGATAAGCGGCGGTCTGTTTTCACTCCTCTGATCAGTGTAATTATATTTGTTGGC